CCAGCACCCTGGGAGGCTAAGGTGGGCCAGTGGCTAACCTGAGGAGTTTGAGATCAACCTAGGCAACATGGAGAAATCCTGTCTCTACAAAAAAATGTGTATATATATTAGGTATGGTGGCGCATGTCTACAGTCCCAGCTACTTCGGAGGCTGAGGTGGGAGGATCGCTTGAGCTCAGGTGGTGAAGGTTTCAGTCAGCCGAGATTGTGCCACTGTACCCCAGCCTGGGTGACAGAGTGAGACCCCATCTCAAAAAAACAAAAACAAAAACAAAACACTTTATAAGAGATGATTTTCAATGATTATAACACAAAGAATTGATAAATGTTTGAAATGGATATGCTAATTATCCTGATTTGATCATTAAGTTGTATGCACGTACTCCTACATATGTACAATTATTACATATCAACTAAAAATAAAAGGGAAAAAATGTAAAAAGAAAATTTTTAAAAGGAAAGAAAAAGAAAATTCCCAATGTGAAGGTGTTAGGAAGTGGGTCTTTTGGGAGGTGGTTAGGTCTCATGAGTAAGGGTGGAGCCCTCCCTCATGAAAGGGATTAGTGTCCTTATAAAAAGAGTCCCCAGAGAGCTCTTTTGCCCCTTCTACCTTGTGAGGACACAGTGAGCCAGAATTTGAGTCCTCACCAGACACTGAATCTCCTAGTGCCTCAATCTTGGATTTCCCCACCTCGAGAACTATCAGCAGCCTGGGCACAGTGGGCACACCTGCAACCCCAGCACTTTGGGAGGCTGAGGTGGGAGGATCACATCAACCCAGGAGGTGGAGGCTGCAGTGAGCCATGACTGCACCATTGCACTCCAGTGTAGGCAACAGAGCAAGACCTCATCTCAAAAAAAAAAAAAACAAAAATTATGAGCAATACATTTCTGTTGTTTGTAAGTTACCTAGTCTACAGTATTTTAACAGCCTAAACTGACTAACATACATTTCCAGCTCTCTGGAGGAGTCTTTAAGCACAACCTCCATCTTAAATATAATAATACAGTAACTGCTTCACTACTGCTATAGGCCAAGCACGTTGCCATTTGCTATGACTTAATCCAGCTCATTTCATCACAAGCCCCTGCCAGAGATCTACTTTTGCCCTCCCTTTATAGCAGAAAAAAGACCTGAGGCTCAAAAAGGCACTAAGTCTACAATAATCAAACCTGTGTGGTACTGACATAAGAGCAGACATATAGAGATCCAGAGGGTAGAATGAGTGTCCAGAAATAAACCCATACATCTATTTCCAATGGCCCTTCCTTCCTTTCTTCCTTTTTTTTTTTTTTTTTTTGATGAAGTCTCACTCTATCACCCAGGCTGGAGTGTAGTGGTATGATCTCAGCTCACTGCAACCTCTGTCTCCCAGGTTCAGCCTTCTGAGTAGCTGGGACTACAGGCATGTACCACCATGCTCAGCTAACTTTTGTATTTTTAGTAGAGACAGGGTTTCACCATGTTGGCCAGGCTGGTCTTGAACACCTGACCCCAGGTCATCTGCCTGCCTTGGCCTCCCAAAGTGTGGGATTACAGGTGTGGGCCACTGCTCCTGGCCCCCAATGGCTTTTCAACAAGGGCCAATAAGATCATTCCATGGGAAGAGAATAATTTAGTAAATAATGCCAGAACTATAAGAAAAATAAGAAAGTTTGAGGCTGGGCACTTTGGCTCACGCCTGTAATCCCAACACTTTGGGAGGCCACGGTGGGTGGATCACGAGGTCAGGAGTTCAAGACCAGCCTGGCCAAGATGGTGAAATCCCATCTCTACAAAAAGTACAAAAAGTTAGCCAGGGATGGTGGCAGGTGCCTGTAATCCCAGCTACTTGGGAGGCTGAGGCAGAGAATTGCTTAAACCTGGGAGGTGGAGGTTGCAGTGAGCCGAGATTCTGCCACTGTACTCCAGCCTGGGTGACAGAGCAGGACTCCATCTCAAAAAAAAAAAAGAAAAGAAAAGAAAGTTTGACCCCTCTCTTACATATAGAAGGGATCAAAGGCCAAAATGTAAGAGCTAAAACTGTAAAACTCTTAAAAGAAAACAGAAGGGTACATTTTCACAACCTTGGGTTTGGCAATGGATCTTTAGAGATGACAGCAAAAGCACAAGCAATAAAAGAAGAAAACAAACTGGACTTTATAAAAAGTAAAAACTTTTGTGCATCAAATATCATTATCCAAAAAGTGAAAAGACAGTTTACAGAATGGGAAAAAATATTTTTAAGTCCTATATCTGATAAGGGTTTAGTATTTAGAATACATAAAGAATACTTGAAACTCACCACCACCACAACAAAATAATTTAAAAATAAGCAAAGGACTTAAACAGACATTTCTCCAAAGAAGGTATATGGTATGGTTTGGATGTTTTGTTCCTTCCAAATCTCTCTTCCAATGTTGAAGTGTGACATCATTCCAATATTAGAGGTTAGGCCTAGTGGGAGGTGTGTGGGTTACGGGGGTGGATCTCTCATGAATGGATTGGTGTTGTCCTCGCAGCAATGAGTTTTCATTCTATGAGTTCCTTTGAGGTCTAGTTGTTTAAAAGAGCCTGGCACCTCCTCCCTCCCTCTCTCACCACATGACATGCCTGCTCCCCCTCTGCCTTCCACCAAGAGTAAAAGCTTCCTGAGGCCTCACCAGAATCCAAACAAATGTTGGTGCCATGCTTGTACAGTCTGCAGAACTATGAGCCAAATAAACCTCTATTCTTTTTTATTTTATTTTTTGAGACTGTATCTCACTCTGTCACCCAGGCTAGAGTACAATGGCATGATCATAGCTCTCGGCAACTTCAGCCTCCCAGGCTCAAGCGATCCTCCTACCTCAGCTGCCTAAGTAGCTGGGACTACACGCCACCTAATTTTTGGTAGCTAACTTTTTATTTTTATTTATAATAGACACAAGGTCTTGCTATGTTGCTCAGGCTGGTCTCGAACTCCTAACCTTAAGTAATATTCCCACCTCAGCCTCCCAAAGTGCTGGGATTACAGGCATGAGTCACCACATCCAGCCCTCTTTTCTTTTCCTTCTTTTTATTTTTTATTCTTTTGAGAGGGATTCTCATTTCTGTAACCCATGGTGGAGTGCAGTGGCTCGACTGCCTCAGCCTCCTCAGTAGCTGGGATTACAGGCACACACTATCACACCTGGCTGATTTTTGTATTTTTAGTAGAGACAAGGTTTCACCATGTTGGCCAGGCTGGTCTCGAACTCCTGACCTCAGGTGATCCACCCACCTCAGCCTCCCAAAGTGCTGAGATTACAGATGTGAGCCATCGTGCCCAGTCCCTCTTTTCTTTATAAATTACCCAGCCTCAGGTATTCCTTTACAGCAATGAAAATGAACTAACACCATATACAAAGGGCCAATGAGCACATGAAAAGATGCTCAATATCATTAGTCACTAGGGAAGTACAAAAAAGCCCTAAGCTGAGTTCGAGCCTGGGTCTGACTCCATGGACCTGGGCCCCTTTGTCTCCTCCCTTCCTCTCACCATACCTGTCCACACCTTCTAGGGGCCACTCTAGGGAGCTGAGGCAGCCAGACCTCCCAGAGGTGGCATGGCCATGGTTGGGCTGGAGATGGTGAGATTCAGTCTTCGTGGAATCTAAAAACTCGATGGCCAGTATCCCTACACAAACAGTCCTGGTCTGTTTGGGGTTGCTGCTGGATCCCAAAACAATGCCTGGGGCATAGCTGTTCAGTACGTATTTACTGACTGACTGACTGACTGACTGACTGACTGACTGACAGAATGAATGACAAGGTTATGGCTTGAGAGGAGTAACAGGTCAGTTTCCCAGGGAAGTCCGTGGATGAGTGAGCAGGAGGTTTACTAGGTAGTGCTCTTGGAGGCAGCACCTGCATGGGAGCGAGGTCAGAAAGACAGAGAGAGGAGCTGAGCTGTGAAGCAGTCACAACAAAGGCCTCAGTCATCTCTGGGGAAGTTCTGGAGCTGGACTAGCACTGCAGAGCTGTCCTGCCTGGGGAAAGGTGGCCGGGCTTTTGTACTCCACATTCACCGGTCATTGGGGGTATGCTGTCCCGTGCGGTGGGGGGTCTAGGCGACCATGCCCAGAGACAGACTCAGTTGGGCACCAACCATCAGCCACCAGCTCTCCCGGCAGCTGAGGAGTGACTGCCTCTGTCTAGAAGGGGGACCCCGGCACACACCAGTGTCCACTATAGCAGGTGTTTGGTCCTCTCTGTCCTTGTGCTCAGTTGAACTCAGCTGGATTTAGTTACCACGAACATGCATTCATTCATTCAACAAACATGTAGTAGGCACCTACCATATGCCAGATACCATGCCACCCCTTGGGGCTATGGAGATGTACAAGGCAGATGCAGCCCCTGCCCAGAGGAAGCAACAGTCAAATGGAGAGACAGACACAGAAACAGATGCTACAAGATCACATCGCTGCCTTCATCTCACACATACCACTCTGTGGTCCCTACACATGTAGGTACCCTCCTGCCTCAGGACCTTTGCTCATACTGTGTCTTTGAAATCCATTGTATAACTGACACTGACAGCTCATCTGAACTCATATTAAGCCACCATTCAAGTGCTCAGTCGGACCATGTGGCTATGGCTTCTGTATTAGTGCAGCTCTGAGTAGGTAAAGGTAGGAGCTATTTTCTGTTGGCCACAGGTCCCTGGACATGAATTGTCCACATTTTCCTCAACTTTTTAATAAACCAAGAAGGAGACCTGCTCCATCACTGGCAGGACCATGAACTCCCTGCAAATACACCTGTTTGCAGTCCCCCACCGTGTCCTTGTCATGAATTTCCTTTAAAAAGTTACCTTGTTTTAAGACAGTCTCACTCTGTTGCCCAAGCTGGAGTATAGTGGCATGATCATAGCTCACTGTAGCCTCAACCTCCTGGACTCAGGTAATCCTCCTGCCTCAGCCTCACGAGTAGCAGGGACTACAGGTGCACACCACCACACCTGGCTAATTTTTAAATTATTTGTAAACATGGGGTGATCACTGTGGTGCCTGGGCTGGTCTCAAACTCTGGGGCTGAAGCAATCCTCCCTCCTTCTTCTCCCAAAGCACTGGGATTACAGGTTTGAGTTACTGTACCTGGCCAAAGTTAGCTTTAATTCACCACTTACTGTGTGCCTGGAACTGTTGTAAGTCTTTGCATACATTACCTCATTTAAGCCTCCTGATCACCCTGTACAATAGACATAATGATTGTACCCATTTGATAGATGAAGAAACTGAGATTCAGAGAGGTCAAAGAATGTGCTCAAAATCACACAGCTTGTGCAAGGAAGAACCTGATGTGAAACTCTGGCAGGCTGGCTCCAGAGCTTGTGTTCCTAATGTGTTAGGAACATTCATTGTTCTCACTCGTTCATTCAGTCATTGCACAAACACTAGCCACTGGAATCAAGGTGGAGGTACATGGGGCTGGCAAGTCAGGAGCTCTGGGACCAACCGTTTCTCTGCCACTGTCTGGCTCAGTGGCCTTGGGCAAGACTCTGTCCTTTTCTAAGCCTTACTTTCTCCTTCTGTGGAATAAAGGGACTGGAGCATCCTAACTAATGCTTTTTTCTGCAGAGAGGACCTCTGTCTACTACCAGACTTGATAATGAATTCCCCAAGAGTCCAATCTCTGGCCCCAGAAAGGGGGTTCAAGGAAATCCTCACACCTCACCTCCTGCAACAACACTGGCGGACAGCTCCCCTGCTGCAGGTGAAAACATGGCCACAGATACAGATGAAATAAAATCCAGCCCAAAAGCAAAAGGCAATATTTATTGAGCACATACTCAATGGGAGATTGAGATCCACAGAGGTTTAACTTACCCAGGTAAAACAGTGCAGAATCAAATCTGCTCTCATACAACCCAGTGTTCCCACTCCTGGGTATCTAACCTAGGGAAATAAAAACTTAGATTCAAGGCTGGGTATGGCATCTCACACCTGTAGTACTAACACTTTGGGAGGTCTAGGTGGGAGGATCACTTAACCCCTGAGGTCAAGGCTGCAGTGGGCTATGATTACACTACTGCGCTCTAGCCTGGGCAACATAGCAAGCCCCTGTGTCAAAAAGAAAAGAAGACTTATATTCCCACAAAAACCTATACATAAATGTTTAGAGCAGTCTATTCACCATCACCCCAAATTGGAGACAATCCAATTTAACAGAGGCGTTTAATAAGCTATGGTACATCCACACCATAAACTACTACTCAGCAACGAAAAAGCATGGACTACTGATACAACCAGCAACTTGAATGAATCTCAAATACTTTGTGTTGGCCAGACACAAAGTTCACATCTACAGTAATCCATTCATCTGACACTTGGGCAGAGCTAAAACTCAGAAAACAGACTGAAAAACAGTCAGAAAACAGACCAGTGGTTGCCAGGGGCTGGGAGCAGGGAAAGGGACAACCATAAAAGGATAGGAAGAGGGAATTTTTGAGGGGTATGAAATTATTTTGTGTACTGATTTTGGTGGTGGTTAGCACACTCTCAGCTGTGCTAAAATGTATAGAATGGGGCCAGGCATGGTGGCTCACATCTGTAAACCCAGCACTTTGGGAGGCCGAGATAGGCGGATCACTGAGGTCAGGAGTTCAAGATCAGCCTGATCAACATGGCAAAACCCTGTCTCTACCAAAAAATACAAAAATTAGCCAGGCGTGGTCATGGGTGCATGTAGCCCAGCTGGGAGGCTAAGGTGGGAAAATTGCTTAATCTGGGAGGCGGAGGTTGCAATGAGCTGAAACTGCACCACTGCACTCCAGCCTGGTCAACAGAGCAAGACCCTGTCAAAAAAAAAAAAAGTTATAGAATGGCACATACATACCCAGAACAGAATCCCCACTCCATGCAAATGACAACTTGTCACAGGTGGTGGCCCAGCTGGAAAACACTTTTTTCCTCTTCAGGGACCTCAGCCAAGAAAGCCCAGTGGTACCTATGACAGAGAAGATAGGTAACTAGAAGTAAGTTAACTATCACAGAGAAAAGGAAGATAACTATCACGGAAGTTAGTTAAGTAAGTTAACTATCACGGAAGATAGTAAGTTAACTATCACGGAGAAGAGGAAGTGGAGAGTGACTGCTTAATGGATACAGAGTTTCCTTTCCTTGGGGGATGATGAAAATGTTTTACAACTAAAGGGAGGTGGCAGTTACACAACACTGTAAATTTACTAAACGTCACTGAATTGTTCATTTTAAATTAGTTAATTTTGTTATGTGAATTTCACTTCCATTTATTAAAAATCGTTCCAGGTCCGGCGCAGTGGCTCACACCTATAATCCCAACAGTTTGGGAGGCCAAGACAGGAGGATTGCTTGAGCCGAGGAGTTCAAAACCAGCCTGGGTAACACAGGGAGACACCCATCTCCACAAAAAATTTAAAAATTAGCCAGGTATGGCAGTATGTGCCTGTAGTCCCAGCTACTCGGGAGGCTGAGGTGGAGCACTTGAGCCTGGGAAGTTGAGGCTGCAGTGAGCCATGATCGAGCCATTGCACTGCAGCTTGGATGACAAAACAAGACCCTGTCTCTACTGCCCCCACAAAAAAAGGATCCAGAAATCAATCTAACTCCAAAACTTCAGTTCTTTCTACTGGGGATGGGAGAAAATGGGTTAAATATCACCCATCCATTTCTCTCCAGGGAATTCCTCAGGGATTTCTTTCCCTCTGAGCAGTGTGACTTTATTTACACAAAAACTCTTCCAGGGACATAAACAAGAAACTCAAGCCAGTACATTGTTGTACCCTTTTTCTCAAAATAACCGCAATTCTGTTAAAGTGGAACTGTTCCAGAAAATCGAGACCATGCGTCACTCCACGTGTTTGCAGAGAAAGAAATAAACCTTCAGAGAAGTGCACTGAATCTGAACACCCGATTTCATGGGGAAGGAAGGAAAGCAGGGGACATGAGATGTTGAAATGCACCCCCTAGGGCAGCAGGGGCACTTTTCTGAGTGACTTTGGGAAGGGATTAGGTGAGGAGGCAAGGGATGGACAAAATGAACACCTGCTGAAGTCCCAAAGCAGTTTCTCTAACCCAGAATGCCCTGACCACCGTGAGGGGGAGTTTCCCAACTGTCCTGGGATGAGGTTTTCTAGGGGGTCTAACCCCCATTCGAGGTTCACTGAAGCATACAGCACCCCTGCACTGGAGATTGCTTCTGAGGGACTGGAACCTCAGCCTTGCAAAACAATGACACTTGAGTGAACCCAGATGGGGACAAAGGAAGTGTGAGTCAGCCCAAGAATTTCTTTTAAAAGGCGGAATGAAGGAGGCCACAGCTGCTGGACTGGGAGACAGAATTTGCATGAGCCTGGGGCTGGGTTCTGGGCAACAACCCCCCCAGATGTCCTCAGGGATCTGTGGGCAGCAAGGCCTGGCTGCAAAGGGTCTGGAGGACAGCCCCTCTGCTAAGGTGTTAGCTGCCAGGGCAGAGGGCTTGGGGGAGCTTGAGGAGGCTAAGCTCCAGGAGGGGTGGCCAGGTAACTCAGGCCAGTAGGGAAGAAGTCCAACTGTGTACAAGCATTACCGTGAGCCACACCACTGCCCTGCTGGGAGGTATTATGACCCTATTTTACAGAGGGCAAGACAGTCTAATTTCTGCACTCAACGAGAGCTCACTGAATGCCTGGGGTGTAGCAGTGAACAAAACCAACAAAGACCCTGCTTTTATGGAGTTTATAATCTGGTGTAGGTGGGGAGAGAGTAAGAAACAGTTTTGGGTGCTGAGCACATACAGATGAAAGAAATAAACTAGGAGGGAGGGGGAGAGGGGCTTATCTGGGCAGGCTCCCTCTGCTGAGACCTGAATGATGAGAAGGGGCTGGTGGCCTGGGGAAGGGCACTCCTACCAGAGGGAATGGCAAACGTGAAGGCCTTGCGGCAGGAGCGACCTGGTATGTATGAGGAACAGAAAGGCCAGTGTGGGTATGCAGTGGTTGGGGAAGAGTCAGTGATGCAGCCAAGAGGTAGGTTAGGCAAGATCGGGTAGAGACTCACAGGCCACTTAAAGGAATTTGGATTTTGTTCTAAATGCATCAGGAACAGGCATTCTCTGGAGCAGAGAGAGGGAGAAAGAGAGAGATAGGCTGTGTGTCATGGCTCACATCTGTAATCCCAGCACTTTAGGAGGTCAAAGTGGGAGGATCACTTGAGGTCAGGAGTTCGAGACTAGCCTGGCCAACATGGTGAAACCCCGTCTTTACTAAAAATACAAAAATCAGCCAGGCGTGGTGGTGGGCGGCCTGTAATCCCATCTACTTGGGAGGCTGGGGCAGGAGAATTGCTTAAACCCGGGAAGTGGAGGTTGCAGTTAGCCAAAATTGCACCACTGCACTCCAGCCTTGGCAACATACAGATATTCCATATTGAGAGAGAGAGAGAGAGAGAGAGAGGGTGAGAGAGAGACATGATCTGATTTTCATTTTCAGTAGACGCCCCTGGCTGCCGGGTGGAGACTGGGCTGTGGGGCAGAGGAGCGGAGATACCAGCCAGGAGGCTGCAGCTGTGGTTTCAGTCTACTCTCTATGGCCCGATGAGGGGAAACAAATACAGAAGTCAAGGATGGAGCCATGATTGGGGGCTTGAGCAACTGGATCCATGCAGGTGCCCCTGCCTGATACAAAGATAGTTTGAGCCAGAGCACTCAGCCAGGAGCTGGCTAGACACCCCCTCCCCTGTGCTGTCCACCCCCTGGAAGGCCCAAAGTGTTCATGCTAGCATTCAAGGACCTCCACACCCCTCCCTCCTCTTGCCTCTCCATTTTGACCTCACGCTTCTCTCCCCCAGCCACAGAGCTCTTCCCTTTCTCTCCTGACATGCTGTCCTCGGTCCCAGCTCCACAACTTTGCTCACGCTCCTCCTGTCCGAGGGTCCTTCCTCCTCCCTTGGCCTGAGTGGAAGCCTGAGAAGGGCTTGATAGAGCAGTGGCTCTCAAGCTAGCACCTGCCTGGACTTGCATTCCAGCTGACCACCTCCTAGCACATGATCCTAAGCACATTCTTTAACAGGACTCAGTTTCTTCATCTGCCAAATAAGAGTGAAAATTTTAGTACCAACCATGTGGGGGTAGTTTCAGGGTTAAAGAAGCAGCACTCATTCATTTCACTCTAGAACAGAAATGCCAACCATGGCTAGCCAGTGTTATTTCCTAGTGGCACAGAAATGGCATGGGGGCTGGGCATGGGGGCCCACACCTGTAATCTCAGCACTTTGGGAAGCTGAGATGGGAGGATTACTTGAGCTCAGGAGTTTGAGACAAGCCTGGGCAAGATAGGGAAACCCTGTTTCTAGACAAAATTTTAAAACTAGCCAGGTGTGATGGTGCACACCTGTGTTCCCAGCTACTCTGGAGGCTGAGGTGGGAGGATCATTTGAGCCTGAGAGGTAGAAGCTGCAGTAAGTGGTGATCACGCCACTGCACTCCACCTGTGCCACAGAGCAAGATCCTGTCTCAAAAAATATAAAGTCAAAATTTTTAAAAAGCATGAGGAAGCAACCACTCTTTCCTATCTCATATGGCTATATGGAAAGTGAAAAGGTTCTGGCCCACTGGGAAGACTATCTTCTTCATGGCCAAGTGTTCAGAGCCTCCCAGCATCTACCCACTGGCCAGAGGAACAGCCACAAGCACACGATCATCCCTGCCCCCTCCAAGGACTTCCTACTCTGCTTTTACAGTAAGGGACCCAAAGCCCAGAGTCACACAGTGGATATGCCATGGGTGGTTCCTTCCCAAGTCTTTCTGGCCAGCGGGGCCCTGGTGATACCTGAGATACCCGGTAGAGACTGGTGTTTTGTTTTAAATGCAACAGGGACTCTTTGGAGGGTTTTAAGAGAGACAGAGAAAAGGCGTGATCTGATTTTCACTTTTAATACAATGAAGGTGTACCTATATTTCCCAGGACAGCTCTGCCCTACCCAGTCCCAGTAATGTGACTTTCATCAGACTCCCATGGGTGGCTTCATGCCATTGATGCCAGGAATGGTGGTGCTTGCAGCCAGCTGGGGGTCAGGTGTCCTGCCTTCTCCTACATCCCCTCTACACCCTGCAGCCAGAGGCTTGAAAAAGGAAAGCCATAGGCCAGACCTAGCCTAGGCTGTTGTGCCCAATTCCACTGCTGTGTGATGTCTGCTGGAAAATGAGACCATGAGGTTTACAGGAACTGGAGTCTCTGACTAGCATTGAATGTGAAAGCAAAACTCACATGCATACACACTCAGGCTTGTACACAGACACAAGCAGACACACAGAGGCACATGCACTCACATACACATAAGCATAGATGCATACACATGCACATGTGTGTGCATGACTGCATATACAGGCATGCATACACTCATCCGCTGGTGCATACACTGTGCGGTACAGGCACACACAAGCACGCACATGGACACAAAGGCTCCCAGACCCCTCTCATGTGGTTTGCCCACTTGCAGCCATAGGCTTGCTCTCCCTGGACCTCAAGCCCACTCACATTCCCAGCTTCTGCCAAGAGATACACCCATTTTCCACCAGTAGAAACACACACACTCAAGATCCCAAGCCTATGGCCTCCAAGCAGCCCTGCACACACAATGGAGCTGCTTGTACATGGGCTACGTCTCACAAGACTGCCAGGCCTCACTGTTGGGTGCACATGCATGTGAGCACACACAAGCATCCCTTCTCTCTCAGAGTTCACAGAGGTCAGCCTCAGAAACACAGAGAACACCGTGTTCAGCCCACTCTGACTGCAGCCAGTGGGCCTTTCTGGGCCCCTCACTGCCCCAGCCTTACCCAGCATCAAAGTCCACACTCCTGGACTTCATGCAAGTGTACCCTAGGCCTGGAACACCCTTCTGCCTGCTCTTCCCCCATCCCAACATGCCACATCACCAGCTGTCCCCTGCCCCTCCACCAGAAAGCTCCCAGCAGTCACAGGGTACTAAAGTGTCAGGGAACCTGGGCCAGCTTGTGCACCTCCGTAAGTCAACCTCTCTGGACCTCAGTGTCCTCATTACTAAAATGAAGGTCATTATCAGCATTGGACTCACCCTATTTCCTTGAGAGGGTTTTCATGTCCAGCAAGGCATGTAGGAGGGGCTCAGGAAAAACTCATTACAAGAATGACAATGGGCCTGGCATGGTGGCTCACACCTGTAATCCTAGCATCTTGGGAGGCCAAGAAGGGAGTACTGCTTGAGCGCAAGAGTTCGAGATCAGCCTGGGCAACATAGTGAGACTCTGGCTCTACAGATAAAATAAAGTAAAATAAAATAAAATAGGCCAGGCACGGTGGCTTATACCTGTAATCCCAGCACATTCGGAGGCCAAGGTGGGTGGATCACTTGAGGTCAGGAGTCTAAGACCAGCCTGGCCAACATGGTGAAAACCCTGTGTCTATCAAAAACACAAAAATTAGGTGGGCATGGTGGTGGGCACCTGTAATCCCAGCTACTTGGGGAGCTGAGGCAAAAGAATTGCTCAAAATCCACAAGGCAGAGATTGCAGTGAGCTGAGATCATGCCATTCCGCTCCAGCCTGGGTGACAGAGTGAGGCTCTGGCTCAAAAAATAATAAAGTAATTTGAAATTAAAAAAAGACTGGGTTCAGCATATTATGTCTGTAATCCTAGCACTCTGCGAGGCTGAAGTGGGGGTACTGCTTGAGCCCAGGAGTTGAGCCCAGTTTGTAAAACATAGCAAGACCTTATCTATACAAATAATAATAATAATAAAGTTAGTTGGGCATGATGGCATGTGGCTGTGGTCCCAGCTACTTGGGGGGCTGGGTGGGAGAACTGCTTGAGCCTGGGCAGTCACCGCTGCACCACTGTGGTTCAGCCTGGACAACACAGCAAGACTCCATCTCAACAGATATACAGGTAGGTGGATAGATAGGTAGTAGGTAGGTAGGTAGGTAGGTAGATAGATAGATGATAGATAGATAGATAGATAATAAACCAATGACAATGATGTCCACGATAGACTGAGACCCTGTCATGTTTAAAGAATGCTGTGTAGTCTCCCAGCAAACCAAGCAGGTGAGAGGGCTCCCATCTCCTAGATGAAACAGGCCCAAGGGGCAACAGTGTCTTATCCAAGGCCACTGAGGTCTGCAGCGGAGCCCATGCCTCTTGATCCCAGCCCAGTGCATCTGTTGAGGGAGGCAGCTCCAGGCATAAGCCTTCTGGGGCCTGCCCAGTGCAGTTCTGGGAGGCCCCTGGCCCACTATACTCCCCACAGGTACTGAGGGGTCCCTGGCCAGCTGGTGTCAGGGTTTAGTGAACAGGGGAGCCAGGAGCTGCATGGTGGGCACAGAGGCGAAGACACAGAGGCCCAGAGAGGGGAGAGATTTTACCAAGCGTGGCAGTTTCCTGAGGCCACAAGCAACAAGTTATGAACTTAGCGGCTTAAAACAATAGAACTTGATTTTCTTACAGTTCTGGAGGCCAGAAGTCTGAAGTCAAGGCTTCAGCAGGGCCCTGCTTCCTCCAGAGGATTGAAGGGAGGCCCCTTCCTTGTCTCTTCCAGCTTCTGGTGGCTCCAGGCATTCCTTGGCTTGGAACTGTGTGATTCCAACCTCCACCTCCATCTGTACAAGGCACCCTCCCCTCTGTGTCTGTGTCCCAAATCTCCCTCTGCCTCTCTCTTCCAGGAACACCTCACCTTGGATTTGGGGTCCACCAATGTTCTCATTTCCAGATCCTCAGATCCTTAATGACAGCTTCAAAGCTCTTCTTCTAAATAAGATCAGTCACAGGTTCTGGGGGTTAGAATGTGGATTTATGTTTTGGGGGACACTTTTAACCTATTACACCTGGAAAGCTAGCAGTAGTGCCAGGCACAGCTCTCCCCTCATCCCAGCCTTATTCTGGGATCTCATTAAGAAGACCAGGGCTGGGCCAACAGAAAGCTGGGAGCCTCCTGACCTGGCCTGGAATCCTGGCCTTGCCTCTTACTTGCTGTGGGACCTCAGGCAAGGAACTCAGCCTCTCTGTGCCTGTCTCTTCACCTGTAAAATGGGGATGACAGTTCTTACCTCATAAGGGAAATTAAATGAGTTGATGTAAAACAGGAGAATAGTGGCTGCCTGGAGCCCAAAAAGCTCACAACAAAAATTTGATAGATCAGTACAGAAAATGGTGTCTGGGTCAGATGTGATGTCTCATGCATGTAATCTCAGCACTTTGGGAGGCCAAGGCGGGCAGATCACCTGAGGTCAGGAGTTTGAGACCAGCCTGACCAACATGGAGAAACCCTGTCTCTACTAAAAATACAAAATTAGTGAGGGATGGTGGCACATGCCTGTAATCCTAGCTACTTGGAAGGCTGAGGCAGGAGAATTGCTTGAACCCACTGCACTCCAGCCTGCGCAGCAAGAGTGAAACACTGTCTCAAAAAAAAAAAAAAGTTTATCTGTGTGTGGTAGTGGGTTGCACCATTGCACTCTTGCCTGGGCAAAAAGAACAAAACAAGAAAGAAAGAAAGGAAGGAAGGAAATCATGTCTGGACACCCTGGACCCTTAGTAAGTGCTAACACTGCCAGAGGACAGTGTCCATCTTCCGGAAGATTCCTCACCAAGCATCTCTCTGAGTTCCCCTCCTCATACCTTTGGCCTCCTGGAGAGAGACAGTGGAGGTCACTATTGTCCTACTTGTCAGATGGGAACACAGCCCTGGAGTGGGGCAGCCCCAGACCTGGTGTCCTGGCCCCAGTTGAGGGTCCCATATGATGGGTCCCAGAATGGGTTTGATATCCGATGTCTTCAAAGGCAAAATGAGAAACCAAAGCAAGTAAGCAGGTTTTTCAAAAAGCGGAAGCTTATCTGGGGCATAGGAGAGCAGAGAGTGGTGGAATATATGTATGTGTGTATGCATGTAAGTGTGTATGTATATGTATATGCATGTATGTGTATATGCAAGCATGTATATAGGCATGTAAGTGTGTATGTATGTGTGTAGGCATGTATATATGCTTGCATGTGTGCATGGTTTTTTTAAAAAGAGATAGGGGCTCGTTGTGTTGTCCAGGCTGGTCTTGAACTCCTAGCCTCAAGGGATCCCCCAGCCTCAGCCTCCCAAGGTGCTGGAATTCAGGCAGACCCACCCTGCTCAGCCCCCATGAGGAGTGGTACTTGAAGGGTGGCCTGGGGCCAGCGGCACTGGCACCACCTGGGGACAGGTGAGAAATCCCATTCTCAGGCCCACCCTGGCTACTGGAACTCCAGGTGGGTGCTGCAGGTAACACTGGTGCCTGCTGATGCTTGAGGACCACTGGCTTTAGGGGTGCAAAGTACAGATGGGGGAGGCAGCCCCTGGGGCCTTGAATCCCAGATCTGCCACCCCACAATTGTGTGGACACTTCCTGTCCCCGGGCACGCATCCCACAGTGAGTTCTTAAGCATCTAGAGCAGCACCTGGCATTTCAGGTCCCAGCTTCCATCTCATGATAGGAGCTGACACACATGCACCAGCTAATTATATTTCCTTTCAGGAAGGAATGAAAACCACAAATAGTATTTGGTTTCTTCACAACTCAGTGCTTGGCAAATTTTTTAAATTGGTAGGTTTAACTCTACCAATCCCGCCATACAGCAGCCCCCAACCTTTTAGGCACAGGGGCCAGTTTCTTTCTTTCTTTCTTTTTTTTTTTTTTTTTGAGATGGAGTCTCACTCTGTTGCCCAGGCTGGAGTACAGTGGTGTGATCTTGGCTCACTGCAACCTCTGCCTCCCAGATTCAAGTGATTCTCTGCCTCAGCCTGCAGAGTAGCAGGGATTACAGGTGCCCACCACCATGCCCAACTAATTTTTGTATTTTTAGTAGAGACGGGGTTTCACCATGTTGTCCAGGCTGGTCTCAAACTCCTGACCTCAGGTGATGCACCCGCCTCAGCCTCCCAAAGTGCTAGGATTACTGGTATGAGCCACCGCGCCCAGCCCAGGGACCAATTTCATAGAAGACAATTTTTCCATGGGCCAGTAATGGTTTCAGGATGATTCAAGCATGTTACATTTATTGTGTACTTTATTTCTGTTATTATTACATTGTAATCTATAACAAAATAATTATCTAATTCACCATAATGTAGAATCACTGGGAGCCCTGAACATGTTTTCCTGCAACAAAATGGTCCCATCTCGGGTAATGAAAGACAGTGACAAAAGATGGCTAGTGCCCTCAGGCAGTGTTAGCACTTACTGAGGGTCCACCAGGGTATCCTGACACAATTTTCTTTTTCTTTTTCTTTTTTTTGAGATGGAGTTTCATTCTTGTTGCCCAGGCAGTGTTGCGACCCTTAGCTCACTGCAGCCTCAGCCTCCCAGGTTCAAGCAATTCTCCTGCCTCAGCTTCCCAGGAGTGGCTGGGATTCTACACACCTGCCGCCATGCCCAAATAATCTTTTGTATTTTTAGAAGAGATGGAGTTTTGCCATGTTGGCCAGGCTGGTCTCGAACTCCTGACCTCAGGTGACAGATCATATGGCATTAGATTCTCATAAGGAGTATGCCGTCTAGATCACTCGCATGCGCAGCTCACAATAGGGATTTGCATTCGTATGAGACTCTAATGCCAATCTGACAGCAGGCAGACCTCAGGTGGGAATGCAAGCAATGGGGAGTGGCTGTAACACAGATGAAGCTTCATTCACTCACCCGCTGTTCACCTCCTGCTGTACAGCCGGTTCCTAACAGGCCACAAACCAGTCCATGGCCCAGGGTTTAGGAACCCCTGCCTCCATATTTATATTTTTAAATCTGCTGATCTTTGAAATTCTCAAATCAGTGAACCGGTGCTGAAGAGGTCTGAGGTTACTGTGACCCTTTCACAAGTTGATAAACTGAGACTTCCTGAACCACGCCCATCCCAAGAGGCACAGGAGCTTGCTCTTTGGACCCTCCTTGTGTTGCCCCAACAGGAAAGAACGCTTGATGTCCATGGAAATCTCACTGAGTTGGCCCTGGTAGGGAAACAGGAATGAGGAGCTCTGGGAGCTGGGCCATCCCCAGGTTCCCCCCCTTGGGTCTGAATTCTAGCCCTGGGTAAGGCACAGTGGCTCACACCTGTAATCCCAGCACTTTGAGAGGCTGAGGCGGGAGGATCACCCTGAGTCGAGGAGTTAGAGACCAGCCTGGAAGCATAGTGAACTCTATGTCCTCCGTGCAGGGGGACCCCAAGGAGCCAGGGCATGATCGGCTTTGGGTCTGAGAAGGTGCTGCAGGGATGCTAACAGCGACAACTGCAGAAATACTGGGCACCATTAATGGTCATCAGCTCAGTACCAAGGGCTTGGTATTCAGGCCTGCTCTGCAAAGGGAGGATGGCACTACCATGGCTCACTGCAGCCTCGACCTCGCAGGCTCAGATGATCCTCCCACCTCAGCCTCCAGAATAGATAGGACTACAGGCATGTGCCACCACTCCCGCCTAATTGTGTATATACTATATATATATATATATATATATACACATAGTATGTATAGTATATATGTACTATATATGTGTGTCTGTATATATATACACTATATATAGTATATATGTGTGTGCGTGTGTGTGTATATACATACTATATATAATGTATGTATATATAGTATTTATATACACATATATAGTATATATATGTGTATATATATATGAGTATATAGTATATATATGTGTGTGTGTATATATATACTGTATATATACTATAGTATATATACTATATACAGTATATATATACTATATATGTGTGTATATGTGTGTGTGTGTGTGTGTGTGTGTGTGTGTGTGTGTGTATATATATATAATCCCAGCACTTTGGGAGGCTGAGGCGGGTGAATC